ATAGATTAGCAATCGAAAAATATAAAGAATTAAATATTAGATAGAAAACTGTAATTTATTTTATTCAATAAAATATTTGTTATCTCTTAAAATAGAGATCAGAAAGTAAATACTAATCCTGATACATTAATACATTAACAAATATTTTTTTACTATCATCATCTAAAGTACTAATTAAACTACTATAAGTTTCATTTATTTCTTTAAAATTGCTAACATCAAACTGTGAATCATGATATAAATTTTTCTTATATAGAGATCTCTCCGTATTAATATATTTCTTTACATTTTCAGGTAAATTGTGGCACATATCTACCAATGAACCAAGATATTTACTATGTCTTTCTATGATGAATCCCTTAAATGTACCCAATTCATTTTCAGGTAGGGTCGTGATTTCTTCTATCATAAAGTCACAGAAAACAACAATATCTTGCTTTGAAGTAAACAGGATAAATTGCTTCAAATCACTATCAGATAGTCTGTTTACCAGACTATTAAATTCTTTCAAAATATTTTCTAAAGAACCATTATAATTATTTCTAAGTATTTTCTCCTTGTAGGTTTTGCGAGCATCAAGGTAAGTCTTCCATTCAACTAGGATAACTTCTATAAGATGTTTTTCTTCAAGTGTTTTTTATTCAAATATGTTAATAAGATTCTTTCTAAGATTCTGTTCCATTTTGTAGTCTATTTTATTTTTAAACGATTAGGATCCATGGCTAATATAAATAAATATCAAACAACGTGACTGTTACACAGTAAACGGATCCGTATTTGCTAATTCTATATAACCAAATTAATACAACTAAATATCCCAAACGATATAAAAGCGCACTGATTTATCTTACCATAAGCAAATAAACATGGAAGACTTCTCTATGCTCCTAAAATTCTGCCATGAAAATATTTGCAATGTTTCTAAACTCAAGGAAACATATAAAAAAAGTCCATGACAAAAAAACTATTCTTGAAGATAATAATGATATAAATAAGATATTTGATATGTGTGATAAGATACTCAAGGACCCTAAGTATGATAACAATATAATTTCCGAACCATTGACAGAAAAACAAGAACGATTCATGGTACACCTTGAATTTCAATTATCCGAGCAAATTGGAAAGATCGGAGCATACGCGATTAGTTTCGAATCTTCTAAGAAACCCTTCTTGAATATGAAAGCAGAAGAAATGGAAGGACTTGAATATCCGGTTGTTCGTATCCTCGCAGCTGAAGGGTTTCCAAACATTGAAATGACTACCAGTGATACATTGAATCGTACTTATTTTAGGGATTTTCTTAAAGCATATTACGATATAGATTATGATAATACAGAAGGCATTTCATATAACCAATTAAAAACTATCATTCTAGCAACCAAGATTGAATAATATGATTAACCCACGTGATAATTTTACAAAAAAAAAAAAAAATGTATCAAATAAATTTAAAGATCTTTAACTTGTAACACTCAGAAACTCCTTAAATAAAATAACAATCTTATATTGTC